CTCCCGGAGTGCAAGGATTACAGGCGTGAGCCACTGCGCCCGGACACCCACACCCTTAATTCTTAAAGCAAGAGACCTGGTTCTTCACTCACACCATCCGCTTCCAATCCAAAGGGAGCGCTGAGCCCGACCGCACCCCCTGGCATCTCACTCCGGCCACGTTTTGGACTCCTGGGCGTGGAAACTGCACTCTGCTATTGCTAGTGCTCCAGAAAAGTCAAGGATGTCCACGTGGGAGTGCCGGGTGGACAGGGCAGGTGTGAACTGCTCTGAAGAGGGCCCCGAGGCCCGGCCTGCAGGAGGTTTGGAGGGCGAAGTGGAGGAGTTCCGGGTGGAGGTTGGTAAGGCAGGCACAGCCTGGAGCTGACTGCCCCATGGCCTGGCATCGTGGCCACCTGCATGGCTTGCTCTGCGGAGCTGGACACGAGGCCTTGAAAACAGGGCATGGGAGCTATGAGTCAGTGTTTTCGGGAAGGCCTCCTCTGTTCCTAAACCAACAGCTGATTCACAGGCTTGTGATCCGGGCCAGCTTCTACACCTGGACCTGGCTCTGCTGGCCACACGTCAGGATGGGCAGCAAGTTCCCTCAGAGAACTTGAGGCTTGGCCTTGGTGGAAGACTGTCTGAAAACGTGGTCCCCGTATCTCCTCCCATCCCCGTTTGCACAGGTGGCTTCTCTCATTCCGAGGCAGGCAGTTAGTCCCTCTCTCCTTGAACCTGTGCTGGCCCTGTGGCTTGCTTCAACCCAACAGAATACTTCAGAGAGAGCTCCCAGGCTGATCCCAGCAATGCCCCACACACGTGCTAAGACCATCTTGGACCTTCCAGTCCAGGGCAGCCTGGCTGCTGACTGTATGCAGCCATGTGATCGGCTCAGGCAAGATCAGCAAGGAATGACCAACAAAGAATGGACGGGAACAACAAACTGTTACGTTACTCAGTTTTAGGGAGACTTCTTCTCTGGCAATAGCTAACCAATACAGACATTTTCACCAGGACAGGTGTCCCTGGCCAGCTGGGAAGCCCCGCTACTCTGGACCTAGTATGTAAGCTCTCTCAATGAGCTTTCATGGGCATAACCATTAGATAACACGACACCCATGTCCTCGGGCACCCAAATGCCAGTGGGCAGAAGCTACCTACTCTGGCCTAGTCAGCAATGCCAGGTGCAAACAGACAGGGAAATAAGAAGCATCGGTCAGTGCCTGAGACCCTGACCCCAATACTTGCTTGTTCAGGGTGAGAAAAAGTCATTTCCACTCCCCGCTCAATAATATCACCAAAATTAGTATCAGCAATACTGTTATCTGTAATACGAATGCTCCTTGACTTATGACCGGGCTACATCTCAATAAACCCATTAGAAGTTGAAAATATTTAAGTCGAAAATGCACTGAATACAACTGAGCTACTGAACATCACAGCTTAGCCTAGCGTAGCTTAACCATACTCAGAACACATACATTAACATTAGCCTACAGTCGGGCAAAACCACCTGGCAACACAGTAGGCTGCGGAGTATGGGTTGTTGACCTCTCGAGGGTACAGGTACACACTGCACGTCACTAGCCTGGAAACAGGTTGAAATCCAAAAAGGATGGTTTCTGCTAACTGAGTGTGTACTGCTTTTACACTGTCGTAAAGGGGAAAAATTGTAAGTGGACCAGCTATAAGTGGGAAAGTTCAGTGAAAGTTTCTGCCCCGGGGACATTCTGAGATAGACAAACACAGGTTGGAGCCACTGGGCGCAGTGGCTCATGCCTGTAACCCCAGCAATTGGAGAGGCCAAAGTGGGAGGACAGCTTAAGGCCAGGAGTTCCAGATCAGCCTGAGCAGCAAAGCAAGACCCCTGTCCCTACACAAAATGGAAAAATTAGCCACGGGTGGTGGCGTACACCTGTAGTCCCAGCTGCTCAGGAGGCTGAGGCAGGAGGATCACGTAAGCCCAGGAGTTTTGTTTTGTTTTCTGGAGACAGGGTTTCCCTCTGTTGCCCCAGCTGGAGTGCAGTGGTGTCATCATAGCTCACTATAACCTCGAACTCCTGGCCTCAAGCTATCCTCTCGCCTTTGTCTCCCAAAGTGCTGGGATTAAAGGCTCGAGCCACTGTGCCCAGCCAGAGCCTAAGAGTTGGAGGTTGCACAGCAAGCTATAATGATATAATGACGCCGCCACACTCTAGCCTGGTCAACACGGTGAGACTGTTTCAAAAAAACAAATGAAATTTTTAAGAAACAACAATTTCTGCCCTCTAAGTGACTAAGGCCTCAGGACATAGGCTCTCGCCTCTGGGCCCAGCCCACATCCCCCTGTTCCTGGCACTGTCTGTTCCATGCCCAAAGACGGGAGCTACTCCAAGGTAAGCTTCCTGGGCACAGACCTTATTTGTTTAACAAACAAGGTGCCATTAACACCTGCAGCCCTACCTGCTTACCTCTGATTAACCTCATGCAGGCACAGGCCATAGGTATGACCACCACCCAAGCCAATCCTGTAGGCTTGGGGGTCACACCTGCAACACGGAGCCTGATGGGGGAGGGGCAGAGGAATGTTTCTGACCCATTCAAAGGTTCTGCAGGTTAAGGGGCTGTTTATGGTGTCACCAGAGATTTTCAAGACTCCACAGACTCAAATATTCATATATGACACTCCCTTTAGCAAATTTCTCTTAAGTTCTCCAGACACCTAACCTCAGATCAGTGGCTCAGCCTGCAAAGGACCCCATCTCTACTAAAAACAGAAAAAATTAGCCAGGTGTGGTGGGGTACACCTGTAGTCCCAGCTACTCAGGAGGCTGAGGCAGGGGGATCGCTTGAGCCCAGGAGTTTGAAGTCGCTGTGAGCTAGGCTGACGCCACAGCACTCTAGCCCCTGGGCAACAAAGTGAGATTGTCTCAAAAAAAAAAAAAAAAAAAAAGCCTGGCCCTCCACACCCTGATTTAGAGACTCACGCCAAACCCAACCTGAAGAGAAGCTCCCCTGGATAGGATCATCACTTTTTGCCAGACGCTAGAGATCTGCAAAGGTAAGAAAAGTTATATTCCACTCATCACTGAGTACTCAGAGTGAGGTTTGTGGACTGACCACTGAGCGCTCCTTAGAAATGCAGAATCTCAGGCCCCACCCACAACCTACAGAATCTGCATTTAAATGAGGCCCCCAGGAGATTCCTCAACAGGTTGACCCTGAGAAACAATACTCTGCTCAGCGGCAAAAGGGCCCAGGAGGTGACCATTTCTCATCAGGTCTAGCTTTTGTGCTCTGACTAAGAGGTGGGGGTGAAGAGGGCTTTGGAGAACAGATTCCACACTTCGGCTTAACCCAGGCAGCCCACGCTCGGGGGCTTTGGCAGAAGCAAGCCAGGCTGCCCTGGGTTACGGACTGTGTGCCGTGCCTGCCCCACTAAACACCCCAGACTAGAAAAAGCTGGCTTTAGGCTCCTGGCACTGCTAGCTTTCTTCCAGCTGATCTCAAAAACATATGCTATCTTTTGACCCTGAAGCCCCTTCCCCTGCTAAAAGACCTTCAAAGGGAGGGGGATTTGCCACAGCTGCCCCACTTCCCAGTCCAAAGTGAGAAGTGGATCAAACTTTCCTACAAACAGTACCCCTGGCTATTGCTTCCAACCTGACCCACCCTGCCTACCCAGCAACTGCAGGCCTGGGTGCCCACCTCCACAGATCACGCACACGTTCACACCCTCCCTTGTAGCAGCTCCAAAATGGTCAGGAAATGTCCTGGTAGACACTTCAGGACGGGGACAAAGGAGAACACCCTGAACTACAAAAGGCCAGCACGAGGGAGAAAGGGAGTCTGAGTCAAGAATGGCAACAAGAGCCCCTGCGAACTCTCCCTGGGATCATTTCTCCCTTCTCTTGCTTGCCTGGCTGCTGTTTCTCCTTCGATCTGGGGAAACGGCGTGACAATGCAAAACAGACGCGCGCTGAAGCGCTTGGGACCGTGTCTGCAGAAAGAGGCGCACGGTGGGACAAGGACATCTAAGAAGATCCCTAGCAGCTTTAACACTGTGTGTTTTGGATCAAGCAGGCGAGGACGTCGGATCCGGCCGTGCTCGGCCGTGGCGGGACGGCTGCCTGAGAAGACAAGCATGTGGCCCCCCAGCCGCAGGCTAGGAGACAGGGCAGCAGCCCGCGCCCGCCACGCCACGCCACGCCACGCGCCAGGATCTGTCGCGTTCTCGAGTAGTCTGGGAAGTGGCGTGGGGGAGGATGTAGGGGAGGGGCAAGGGGCCAGGGGGAGGGGGCAGTGCGAGGATGGGAGGGAAGTGGTGAGCACGGAGATTTCATCATGCAAACAGGCGCATAGGTTTCATCAGCGCCTGGGCGCTGGGCGCCCGTGCCGGGAGGGAACGCCTGGCTCCCGAAGCAGCCCAGGCTGGCCCCCACCCGTGCCAGCTCAGCTTCCTCTTCCTCAGCCTCTCACCGGGAGGTCACACGGTGCCTCCCCCCACCCCCAGACAGAAGGACGTGTTTTTCTGCACAGCCCTGCTCCCCGCGCCAGGCACCTCCGCGGAGGCCCCGCTCGCGGGAACGGGGCGCATGCCACAGGTGCCCGAGAGGTGCCTCGGGAAGCAAAAAAGGGCTCTGCACGAGTCATTTATCCCAACGGAGAACGCCCGTCCCACCCCATAAAAACTCCAGGCCAGGCCTCTCCTGGATGCCTGGGCCACCCTGCCCCAGAACCGCCCCCAACACCCACAACGCGCAGCACGCGGCGGCATGTGGCCGCGCTGGACGCGTGCGTGTCTGGGTGTCAGCTGTTTCTCCCAGAAGGAGGAAACCAACGGGGCAGTTTGCAGCCCGGGCTCTGGAAGGCGCACCCAGAGGGCAGGCCACCTCCTCGCTGGCTCCCTGATGCCCCTTCTCTGTTCTTTCCAGTCTCCGCGCCCCTGAGCCTGGACACCAGGTCCCCTCGGTGACCCCCGATCCCGCCTGCCCGCCGCCGCCGGAGCCCGCACGCGGCGCCCCAGAGCCTGCGCCTACCTCCCGGGGTGGTGCTGAAGAGAGTGCCGCCCGGGGTGGTGCTGTAGTCCCCGGGCGGGAGCTGCACGCCGTCGCCGAGCACCACCCGGCGAGTGGCCGGGATGGCCCGGCTCGGGGTCTGGCTGCAGCTGCTGCCCCCGGACATGGTCTCCTGCGCGCCGCGCCCGCAACCCTCTGGCTGCCCTCCCGCGCCTTCAGCCTCGCCCCGCCTCGCCCCCGCCCGCCCCGCCGAGGCCGCCCCTTCCGCCTCTTCTGCTCCACGCCCCTGGGATTTGTAGTCCGCGCCCGCGCCGCCCCACCCGGCTCCGGGCCGCCGCGCGCACGTGGGCTCCCCCGCCGCCCGGGGACAGACCCCGGCCGCGCGCGCACGGTCTCCCCCGCGCAGTCCCCCGGGTCTGCCCCTGGTGCGCCCGGGTCCCTCCTGCCACGCTGGCAGGGACGGGCGGGCTGGCGGGTCCGGGAGCGTGCCGAGGTCAGCCCCGCGCTGGGTGGGGGGCGGCGACTTGGGGTGCTAGCCGACTCGGCACTCCGGGAAGGCCAGGTTTCTGCGTTAGGACATCCGGCCAGAGGTACCCCAGCGCTGCCTGTCCCAAGCCTCACTTCCTCAGTGGGAAAGTGGGACGTGCCTGATCTTTGCCCCTCTTCGGCTTCTTGAACATTCACCATATGGCTGGGGTTGGAGGAATGGCGAACTGTGCGCGTCGCCGGCCTTTGGAGAGGGTGTGGAGAAGGAGCGAACAGCCCAGCCAGCTGGGGGCTAAGGCCTAAACTTAGAGCTGAGGTGGAGATGGGGGTGAGGGAGGGGATAAGAGTTAGCAAAGAAGTTTCCAGATTACCCTAGAATTGGGTCCAACACCAAGCGTACTCCATGACAGTAGGCATTCAGGGATGGGGGGGCATGGAGGCATGAATGGATGCATCTTCAAGAAGATCCCTAAGCAGAGAGAGAGAAAAATGCAAGGAGGCCGAAAAGCCTGTGAGTTTGAGAAGTTCATACCATTGTGACCACTTCTTTTGGGGAGGAGGGTGGAGGAGAGGAGAGAACTGTTTAAAAGGGAAATTGGTATGAGGTTGTTGAAGGGTCTTTCACCTCATGCCAAGGAGTTCAGACTTTGTCCTACAAGGGCAGGAGCTATCAGCGATCTTTGCAGCAGGGGAATGACATGGTTATAATTGGTTTTTGGAAAAATAACCAGTGGCTTTGGAATTTAGGGATGGGCTGGAGGAGGGCAGGGCCTGGTTTAGGGAGACACGTTCGGGTTTGGCCTCAATGCTGAGCTAAACCTAGACCTATGCTGTCCAAGACAGTAACCACCTGCCACAGTTGCACACTGAGCCCTGAAATGTGGCAGTGAACAGTGCGGCGTGCTACAGGTGTAAACTACACGCCAGATTTCAAAGGCTTAGCATGAAAAAAATCATGTAAAATATCTCAGTAATTTTTTGTATTGATTACATGTTGATGTCATAGTATTTTGAGTATATTAAGTAAATTACAAAAATTAATTTCACCTGTTTCGTTTTACTTTTTTGATAGGACTACTAGGAATTGTTTCATAAATATGTGGTTCGCATGATATTTCTACTGGATAGTGCTGCTTCAGACTGGGGCTGTGACTGCAGTCCTCAGTTCTCAGAGCCACCCTCCCTGCTTATCCCACCTGGTGTCCCATAAAACTGTTGAATCATCAAATCTTAGCTCTGGTGGGTACACCATAGACCGCCCAGGACAATATACACCCCATCTCATTTAAAAAATAAAAAACAGAGCAGAAAACCGAAGCCCAGAAAGTGACAGGGGTGTGCCCCAGATCTTAGGCTGTTCCTTGCCTGAGGCAGGACTAGAACCCAGCTTTCTTTCTCTCCCTGGCCTGCCCTTTTCTCATCATGTTTGAGAACGAAGTGATCCACCCTCCTCCCTGGGGAAGAACTATTTTGAAAAGGGTCTTGCTACCAGCCTGAGTAATAGCTGTCTCTACAAAAATAGGAAGAAATTTCTATTCTGGACAACTAAACATATATAGAAAAATTTAGCCAGACATGGTGGTGCATGCTACCATGTAGTACCGTGTTCCCCGAAAATAAGACCTACCCATAAAATAAGCCCCTAGCAGGATTTCTAAGCATTTGCACAATATATTTCCTACCCGGAAAATAGGACCTAGTGATGGGCGTGGCTATGCAGGGCATCGGCACAACCCATGCATTTCGTCCTGGAGCGGTAAGGAAGACAAGCAGCCCTTCCCATCTGCCCCAGGAGAGCTCTACTGCTCGACATGAGAGATTGGGGCCAATGGTTCCAAAGGAAATAGAGTCGCAAGACATTCAGGATGGAATTCGGGGTTTGGAGAGTGATGATGATGTTCCAGAAGAAGACGACTTCATTATATTGGAATAAATGTAGATTGTTGTACCGTACTTAAAAAAAAATAACACATCCCCTGAAAATAAGCCCTAGGGTATCTTCTTGAGGAAAAATAAATATAAGACCATGTCTTATTTTCGGGGAAACAAGATAGCTACTCGGTAGCAGGACTACCATAGTAGTCCCAGCTACTCGGGAGGCTGAGGCAGGAGGATCGCTTGAGCCCAGGAGTTTGAGGTTGCTGTGAGCTAGGCTGACACCATGGCACTTTAGCCTGGGCAACAGAGACTCTGTCTCAAAAAAAAAACAAAAACAAAAGGAGTCTTGCTGTTGCCTTATTAGTTGTGTGTGATTGGCTAGATATGAGGCCTGGAGTTCTCAGGGGCTGAGATTCTAGGGAAGGGGCAGCTTGGGGGGTGGGGCTCAGCACTCAGCAATGACCTTGTTGAGGAGGACAGTGTAGACTTGGGGACCCCCCCTCTGCACCCAGTCTCCGCCACTGAAGCCCCAAAGGCCCTCACACAAAGAGAGCCGCTCCTAAGCCCAGAGCTGGGCAGAGGGGCTGCAAGCAGGTGTGGGTCTAGTTGGCGGAGTCCTGGCCTGGAGTGAGGGCTGCGGGTTCTAGTCCTAGTGCTGCCACTAAATGGCTCCTCAGCCTTGCACAGGCTTTGCCTTTCTTGGCCTCGGTTTCATCCTCTGTCACATGAAGGAGGTGGATTTAAAGATCTTTGAGGACCCTCAGCATTGACATATTGTGTTTTTGACAAACTCCCTGCTGAATCCTGTTTCCCGCCAGTCATTTCTTCTGCAGAAAGGGCTATAGGACAAACCCTAAAGTGTCCTTCCTGCTGTCACTCACACAGCCAACCCAACACCTCTGACACCAAGCGGGTGGGTTTTTCCCCCACATACCAACTGGGCATTTCTGCCTCGGAAGATTCTCCTGTGGGCGCCAGCCGAGTGTCCTCTAGTCTGATGATTCAGTGCTGGCACTGTCTGCCTGGGGCCAGATGTGAGCTACAATAAAATCTCAAGGCTCCCCCCACCAGCTGACTGGATGGACCCCCTCCTGGTCACGGGGATACCCTAAAACTGAGTAGCGGCCAAGGAAGGGAGGTCAGACATGCCTCAGCGTCCTCTGTGACTCAGCTCCTTGACAGGCCTACGGCTTTGCACAACAAACCTGCAGGTCCCCAACTTCCACACATATGTGGCTGGTCACTTGTCTCTCATTAACAGACTTTCTTATCTTTTTTTTTTTTTTTTTTGAGACAGAGTCTCGCTTTGTTGCCCAGGCTAGAGTGAGTGCCGTGGCGTCAGCCTAGCTCACAGCAACCTCAGACTCCTGGGCTCAAGCGATCCTCCTGCCTCAGCCTCCCGAGTAGCTGGGACTACAGGCATGTGCCACCGTGCCCGGCTAATTTTTTCTATATATATTAGTTGGCCAATTAATGTCTTTCTATTTATAGTAGAGACAGGGTCTCGCTCTTGCTCAGGCTGGTTTCGAACTCCTGACCTCGAGCAATCCGCCCGCCTCGGTCTCCCAGAGTGCTAGGATTACAGGCGTGAGCCACCTCGCCCGGCCAGACTTTCTTAACTTAAAACATTCCAAGCTTTTAAACAAAGCTTCACCTTTTTTTAACCAATCACAAGCTAAAGAATCTTTAAACCCACCTATAACCTGTAAGCCCACGCTTTTGAGGGGGCCCACCTTTTCGGGCCAGACCACCGTATGCCTTCCGCTGTATTGATTTATGAACTCACCTGTAACCCCTGTCTCCCTGGAATGTATAAAACCAAACTGTAACCCAACCACCACCAGTCCACTTGCTCAAGGTTTCTTGGGTGTGGCTCCGGGTCACGGCCCTCAAATCTGGCTCAGAATAAACCTCTTTAAATTATTTTACAGAGTTTGGCTTCTTTTTCATTAACACAGATAACATCAGATCCCACAGGGTAAGGGCTCCGCCCCACAAGACTGCACGGACTCAGATGCCAGTGGGAAGCACAGGTCGTGAACCGCCCTGATTGATCAGTTATATATCAGTGTTCCCATGACCCCCTCCTTGCCTTTGATTAATTTGCTAGAGCTGCTCCCGGACCTCAGGGAAACACTTTTACTTACATTTACCAGTTTTAAAAAAAAATTTATCTATTTATTTTTTTGAGACAGAGTCTCGCTTTGTTGCCCAGGCTAGAGTGAGTGCCGTGGCGTCAGCCTAGCTCACAGCAACCTCAAACTCCTGGGCTCAAGCGATCCTCCTGCCTCAGCCTCCCGAGTAGCTGGGACTACAGGCATGCGCCACCATGCCTGGCTCATTTTTTCTCTCTATATATATATTAGTTGGCCAATTAGTTTGTTTCTATTTATAGTAGAGACAGGGGTCTCGCTCTTGCTCAGGCTGGTTTCGAACTCCTGATCTTGAGTGATCCTCCGGCCTCGGCCTCCCAGAGAGCTAGGATTACAGGTGTGAGCCACTGCACCTGGCCCTGGAGTTTTCATTACCAGAACTCACATCCCAGGAAGAAGACTGACGTCTGACAACACACCTCAATAGATTTTTGTCATAAACTGTTGTCCGCTCTGCGTGTCCAACAGACTTTGTCCCAAGCTGTTGTATTTTCTTCAAGCCCATTGAATTCTCATAAAAATCATTTAGGACCTCCCTAAAATCATCCACACTCCTCCGTCTTCCTTTTCCCTAAGAAGTAGGGCACATAACCATCTGTACCCAACTGGGGTATTGGGCAATCATTCTCCTGTGATTCCGATGCTGCCCACAATAAAATAAATTCGTGTCCCTTTGCTCCAATTCATCTGCCTTTTGTGAGCTGATTTTTCAACAGACTT